CTGAAAATCCTCGTCCCCCGGCGGCACCGTTTTTTTTAATTTTCTTCCTTTTCAACGCCGTTTTTCGGGGATTTCGGATTTTCTTTGAATTTTTCGCAATAATATTTGAAAAATAGATAAATTTTAACACATTTTAATGCAATAAAAATTTCTGGTCGGAGTCCCCCTTTAATGTTGAAAACTCAATTTTTCAGAGTTTCCAATCGTCCCTTGCCTTCAAAAGCTTCCTTCTGCGATTCTTGGAATTCAGTGATGAACAAAGGCTGATTGATGCTTTGGGACAGCCCACAACCCAAACAGAGGATGGAGATAATTGGTGGAAATTCGAGTATCCCGGCAGCGACGATCTTTTTACTGTTTTTCTGACCAAAGACAATATTTTCTTCCGACATTTGTATTGACTTTATTGATTTTTGGGCTTTTTTTCGGTTTTTACTGGTTTTTACTTGAATAAATGAGAAAATTCGGCTGGAGCCAAGATAATTGAGCTCAAAGTGAGACTATTTGAGCTCCTAACTTTCAACTGATTTATCTCGATTGCTGTGAAAGGTATCAAAAAGTGTTTTACTGTAAAAACACGAATAACATTATAATAAACATTTTGTTAATTGACAACTTTTTGATGTCTTTCACAGGAACCGAGATAAGCTTGATCAAAGGTGACAAAGTTTCACAGCCATTATTGCCACACTGGTAACCTTGACATATATTATCTCGGTTCCTGTAAAAGATATCGAAAAATGATCAACTAGCAAAATTTTAACCATAAAATGAACAATATTTTCTCAGTTGACAAATATTTGATATCTTTCACAGTAATCGAGATAATTAAGTTCAAAGTTGACGGTTCGATTAGGCTCATAGAGTAAATACGGTGTAATAGATATTTTAAATACATGCCTTCCAGATAACCTAATTTATTGGACTTTTCTCACAACTTCAACTGTTTAACAATCTTTCGTAAAAAATGAGATGATTGAGACCCAAGTTGAGTGTCAGTCTTAAGAAGGGGTGCTATTATATTAAACATTAATCAGCTCATAACTTTTAGTTGCACTGTTCCAATCAACTTATTCGATCCTGTTAATAGTTGAACGTAATGAATTATTTATCAACCAACGTTCACTTTCTGCATCTACTACTGATTCTTCGTATATTTCGAGTGACCTGAAAGTTTATTCTTGCTCGTTTCTGAGCTTCTTTTTTCAACAGTCTCAAAGAGAATACTGAAGCAACAGAAAGTTTAAGGTCAACATTTTTATTGAAATACTTAAAGAAAGAGATACGGGGAAGAAAAAGGAAGTAACAAAAAAAGGTAGAGAGATGTACAATGGACACAACAAAACGCACTCCTGGAAGTATAACTCCTCCTTCATTTTTGTGTCGGTTTACTCGTTTTCTCTGATCTCTACTGAAAAATGAAAGCAGGAGTTTCAGTTCCAGATAGATGCGTACTATGGTAAATTGTTGAATAAACGAAGCTATGAACGAAGGGATGATCGAATTCACTCATCGCTGTTGACTCCAGGGAACCTGAAAAATTTGGCACAGAAGAATTTTGAGCTCTGGTGTGACTAACCGATATGACGCGTTCCGGTATCAGTTGATGGAAAGCTGGTATCAACGCCTTTCCGTAAGCTCCGGGAATTCGCTTGATTTACCTGAAAAATCAATATTATACATTTTGAGATAAGTATTCACAAGTTACGTCCACAAGGAGAAGACGCGAAGAGGGTTTAACAATAGCTCAACTGGAAAAATGAACAGAAAACGCCCAATCCAGATTAAAATAGTTATATTTTCATCACTGGGTTATAATTTAACATTTCGCAATTACTAGAGATTCGAGAAATCAGCTAAAATACTTTTAGCTTATTACAGTGATGTGAAGGACGATTCAACAACTAACAACCGAGGTAAAACCGAGAAAAACTGTAGGAAAAAAATCGTTGAGGCATAATAAGATGACAAAGGTAATATACTTTAAGTTTTGAACAAGAAAAACATTAGAAACTTCGAAAAAAAGAGGCCGTGACGCTGAAAGCCCTTAGGGACGAGGTTTTTTCTAGGCCGCCCGGTGAGTAAAAGCGCGCGAATTCAAACTTTCAAAATTTTTTCGCGGTACCGAGCTCGAATTCGTAATCATGTCATAGCTGTTTCCTGTGTGAAATTGTTATCCGCTCACAATTCCACACAACATACGAGCCGGAAGCATAAAGTGTAAAGCCTGGGGTGCCTAATGAGTGAGCTAA